ATTTACTGAATATCTATGCTGAGGAAGGCACTGTGAGATTTTTAAGTTAAATAAAACACACCCTAAGTTGAATTAAATGTGCCCTCTTCTTTACCAATACCCCAGAATTCAACAAGTCATTTTTCTAAAATACTACTTATTTGAAATATGTATTATCTACTTAACATGCCTGCACAGTGTATACATATATTTACGTGTTTAATATACAGTCAGCTCTCCGTATCCGTGGTTTCTTTTTTTTCCTATTTTTTTGAGACACAGTCTCGCTCTGTTGCCCAGGCTGGAGTGCAGTGGCCCGATCTCAGCTCGCCTCAACCTCCGCTTCCCAGGTTCAAGTGAATCTCCTGCCTCAGCCTCCCAAGTAGGTGGGATTACAGGCACGTGCCACTGCACCCTACTAATTTTTGTATTTTTAGTAGACACGGGGTTTCACCATGTTGGCCAGGCTGGTCTCGAACTCCTGACCTCAGGTGATCCACCCGCCTTGGGCTCCCAAAGTGCTGGAATTACAGGTGTGAGCCACAGCGCCTGGCCATATTCATGGTTTCTACGAGTGTGAATTCAACCAATTTTTTTTTAATGGCATCTTACTAAATGTGCATAGACTTGTTTTTCTTCTTATTCCCCAAACAATACAGTATAACTATTTACACAGCATTTACATTGCATTGGGCATTACAAGTAATCTAGAGACGGTTTAAGGTAAACAGTAGGATATACATAGGTTATATGCAAATACCACACCATTTTATATCAGAGACTCGAGTTATCTGTGGATTTTGGTATCTGCAGGAGTTCTTGGAACCAATCTGCCATGGATACTTAAGGACTGTAGATATTTAATATATTTACTGAAGTTTAAAAATCTTGTTAATCCACTCTAAAGTTAAATTTCTGAGTTTCTAGTAACAACACAACAGAATCTGTTGGCATCCAAGCAGAATTTCAATCTTTGTGGGCTAGCAGATGACTGACCCACCCGGAGGACAAAGACAACATAGAACACAGTAATTTATGCTGTGTTTTTCTGATTTCAAATGGAACTATGTTCCAAAGTCATTCTGTTCCAATCCTTTATGTGTCGTCCTCTCCCAACCACGTGGTCCTGTTGAAAGCCATGTAGGACAAGAGATAAATAATTGTTCCCTCAGAGACCTGTTTTTATATTCTATGAAGCTGCATGTTATTTTTGTTCTTTTAGCACCAGCATTTCAGTGAATGCTTGTTTGTTCAATATTTACCTTAAGGAATATGAAAAAACAGAACAAAGGTCAGAATCTAACCCAGAAAACTTTTGACTACTCACTTGGTGAAGTGATGTGAGAGATCCCCTCAGTTGGATATTTCTCCTGCATGGCCATCACAGTTATCTGAGCCAACTGTAGAATGAAGGAATAACCAGTCAGTTCTCTGCAGTATCTTTGATTCCCTGCAAGTTGGTTCCCATTCAACTGAAACTGTCAAAACCATATAGAATATTCAAGTATTTGGCCAGGCACAGTGGCTCACGCCTGTAATCCCAGCACTTTGGGAGGCCAAGGCGGGCCGATCAGCTGAGGTCAGGAGTTCAAGACCAGCCTGACCAACATGGTGAAACCCCATCTCAACTGAAAACACAAAAATTGGCCAGGCGTGGTGGCACACATCTGTAATCCCAGCTATTGGGAGGTTGAGGCAGGAGGATTGCTTGAACCCAGGAGGCAGAGGTTTCAGTGAGCCAAGATCACACCACTGCACTCCAGCCTGGACAACTGAGCAAGACTCCATCTCAAGAAAATAAAAAAGAATATTCAAGTATTCTATATGTTTTACTCCTAAGGATATTTAGGAGTAAATATGTTTTTATGTATTTTACTTCTAAGGATATTTTTAAAGACAAAGTAAATCCCAATACTCCACTCTACTTATCTCTTCCTAAATCCAGTATAGAAAACCTAGAACCAGAGATTACCAATGCAGACTCCATATGGTCCTAGAACCCCTCTGATTTTTACAAAATTTAAAAGTATTACTTTTAATTAACAAACTTTACCATGAATCTTCTTAGCCATGGGGACATGATGACAGGATGAGGCAGATAAAGAACTAAAGAACTAAACCAACAGTGAAGTATTACAGCCTCAATTATGATTAACATAAAACAAATTCCTCAATTCTTCCAGTAATTAAAGTCGGTCATACGCTGTATAAAGATGGAAAGAACTCTTGATCATAAGTAGAACCGCAATCCTGAGCTAGGAACATGAAGCTCTCGTCCCATGTTCTCACTCCTTAAAATACTTATATTTACAGTACACTAGGGGTAGGTGCCGAGAATTCAGCAGAAGCAGATTTGAAGTCTAAACAAATACACTTGAACCCACTAAACATTAAGTTACCAATTTATTAACCACGTAACCTTGGGCAAATTTCTTAGTATCTCTGTTCCTCAGTTTATTCATATAAAAAGGAGGATAACGACACAACCTAATTCATGTTAATTCATTTATAATTAACTTACAACAGTGCCTGACACATACTAAGTGCTGTTATTACTTGGCAATTTACATCAGCAAAAGTGGCACTGTACACCCATGGAAGATCAAGGAGTATAAATTCAGAAACTCTAAATTTATAAAAGCCCCAAAAGAGTTTGGGACAATTCAGCCAGGCTCAGTGGCTCACGCCTGTAATCCCAGCACTTTGGGAGGCCGAGGCAGGCAGACCACCTGAGGTCAGGAGTTCGAGACCAGCCTGGCCAACATGGTGAAACCTCGTCTCTACTAAAAATACAAAAAATAGCCGAGCGTGGTGGCAGGTGCCTGTAATTCCAGCTACTCGGGAGGCTGACGCAGGAGAATCGCTTGGACCTGGCAGGCGGAGGTTGCAGTGAGCCAAGATCAGCCAAGATCGCACCATTGCACTCCAGCCTGGATGACAGAGCAAGACTCCCTCACCAAAAAAAAAAAAAGAAAAGAGTTTGGGACAACTCACAGAACATAACTCTCAGAGGTGAAAATCACTCTGTAGAAAAAAGACCATATGGTACTATTTCTCTAACGTACTTTAGTGACCTCTATAGTATTCTCTTAGTAACAACAACCCAAACCCTTATTAATCCACTGCATTTACAACAGACAAAGGGTATCATCCTCAGAATCCCAGTTCTTCACATACTGGGTGAGGGAAGCTTTGTTCAGTAATAAAAGCTTTAGTTTATGGCAAGTATGATTCTGTGAGTTAAATGATGATATAGAAGGATTAGATTACCTCCTTACTAGTGATTTCCTTTCTTGTCAATATCAAAATCCTTTTATTCACTCCTTTCTTTAAAGGATGACAAAACGGTAGGCCCACTGGATTCTAAGATGTTTCTAAATTCAGACAAGTTGAAAATATGGTGACAGAAGAACTCCCAGTTACCCTATGACTCAGCAATTCCACACTGAAGTATACACCCAAGAGAAATGAAAACATAGGTTTACACAAAAGCTTCAATAAGAATGTTCATAGCAGCATTATTTACAATAGCCAAAAAGTGGAAACAACACAAATGTCCATCAGCAATGAATGGATACATAAAACGTGGTATATCCGAAAACCAGAATATTACTCAGCAATAAAAGGAAGTACTGATACACGTGACAACATGGATGAACACTGAAGACATGCACAGTCAAACAAGTCAAACAAAAGGCTTGATCCTATTTACATGAAATGTCAGAATAGGCAAATCCAGAGAGACACAGATAGTGACTGCAAGGGACTGAGAGGAGGGAGGGTAGGAGAATAGGAAGTGACTGCTAATGGATATCGGGTTTCTTCTCAGGGTGATCAAAATGTTCTGAGATTAGATAGTGGTGACTGACTGCACAACCTTGCCAATATATTAAAAACCTCTGAATTGCACACACATAAAATTAAATTTTATGGTACGTGATATAAACCAAAAATAAAATTCTAAGGCACCCCCAACCATCTGAATGGACCCCTCCCCTTGGCCAAGGACATTCCAAAGTTAAGCTGAAAAACCTGTTAAGGCCATGAAGGCGGTAGTGGTGGTGGAGTCCTACACCCCTCATTATACCCTCCTCCCTTCTGGAATTCAGGAAAAGCATTAACACTAACACAGATGTCTGCAAGAAACATTTACAATCTATTCTCTCTAAAGCCTGCTATTTGGAGGCTTCATCTGCATGATAAAACCTTGATCCCCAGGATTCCTTAACCCAGACATTCCTTTCTATTGATAATAACTTTCAACCAACTGCCAATCAGAAAATTTTGAAATCTACCTATGACCTGGAAGCCCCTACCCCCTAACAGCTGTCTTACCCTTCCGGATCAATGTAAATCTTACATGTATTTGATTGATGTCTCATGTCTCCCTAAAATGTTTATAACCAGGGCACACGTTATCAGGATCACGTGAGGGCTGTGTCAGGGGCCATTGGTCACCCATATTTGGCTCAGAATAAATATCTTCAAATATTTTACAGAGTCTGACCCTCATTGACAACAAATACCTCAAAAAGAAAAAAAGAAAGAAAGAAACCCCTTAAGGAGTAAAACAATACAAAATAAATCATTCTTAAGTTCAGAATTAGATGAGCTACTGGTGGAAATTTTTGGGACAACTGAAGGAGACGGACATTTCCTGGGATAAAAATGAGAGAAATGAATGTACAAGAAGTAACACAACCAATTACAAAGCTTAGAAAGGGAGTGAATGGAGGCAGACAGAGGGGAAAAAAAAAAAAAAGCACCCACCAGGATTAGTTTCCATCTTCAAAGCCCTTTAAACTACAGAAATGCCATTCATTCAACAAATTTAACATGCATTCTGCACTTACTACCTATCAAACACTGTGCTCAACACTTTGCAGGTATCATGTCTCACGTTTCATGCTCACATCAACCCTACGAGGCAGTTACTATTATCCTCATTTTATGGATGAGAAAATAAAGGTTTATAGTAGTGAAGGTCATACAGCTAGGAAGAGGCTTCAAAGCCAGGACTATACTCTAATGCTACAGGAGTCTAGTCAGCATTCTACATGTGACAAAACACAAAAAAAGGGATCAAGCATGGCACCACAAGTTGGAGTTTCTGCCTCAGACAGCAAGAGCTGCAAGCCTCAATTATATTAGCAGCAAAAGTTCATAGCATTTCTTCACTTTGTCCTTGGTCATCACCTAGGCTTTATTTCTCAAGTTGCTACCCAAGAATTAGATTTTGACTGCCGTTAAGTATTTTTCCCCTATAAGAATTACAATCTAAGTGTGGCCAGGTGCGGTGGCTCACGCCTGTAATCCCAGCACTTCGGGAGGCCGAGACGGGCGGATCACCTGAGGTCGGGAGTTTGGGACCAGCCTGACCAACATGGAGAAAGCCCGTCTCTACTAAAAATACAAAATTAACCGGGCATGGTGGCGCATGCCTGTAATCCCAGCTACTTGGGAGGCTGAGGCAGGAGAATCGCTTGAACCCGGGAGCCGGAGGTTGCGGTGCGCCGAGATCGCGCCACGGCACTCCAGCCTGGGCGACAAGAGCAAAACTCCGTCTCAAAAAAGAATTACAATCTGTGTGGAACATCACGCTTGGCAGCTGTTAAGAGAACCACATCAAGACAAGAGAGGATTTGAAGGGACACACAGACAGCTGACACAGACACACGAAGAATCTCACACCATCACACTATTTTCACCGCCTTGATCATTCATTAAACCTTGTGAAAGAGAAGCCAAATCCTCGACAAGAAGTTGCCTTTACAAACAAAAGTCGTGAGACATACAAAACCACCAGATCATTATAAAGCAGACAAGGTCTGAGGGCAAGTAAATGAGACCTGGCTAGCTGCTTCATCCTTGTATCACCACCGTCCCCTACTTAACCCAGTGTTCAATTCATCAACCGAAATTTACTGCGTGCCTACTATGCACCTGGCTCTGAGCCACGTGTTGGGAATATACTGGTGTAAAGGATCGCTCTCATTAACTGAGGTGAAGTAAGCGTTGAATATATTGTTGAGCAAATAAACCTGAACACACTCAACTTTCAGTTCAACCAAAGCACCAGCTCCTTCTTGCTGAAGGAAAGTTCCTCACCTTCCGCCCTACTGACCTTTTGGGGGATTTTTCTTTGTTGTTGGCGGCTTCCTATACACAGTAGGCTGTGGAGCAGCATCCCTGGCTTCTTCACACTACATGCCAGTAGCAAACCCTGGAGCTGTGACTATCAAAAATTTTTCCAGACATCGACCAATGTCCCCAGGGAAGCAAAATCGCCCCGGCAGAGAAGTCCCTGGGTAAGGCCCCGCCAAGTGCTCTCCGTCCCACAACCCTAATTCTCTACACAGTCTTCCAACCTCGGCCCAAACTTCACCTCCTCGGGGAGGGCTCCCTGACCTCTCCGACTAGATCCGCGCCTTCTATTTTGTGCTCTTTGTAAGATTTTTCCACTCTACCCTCACTGCGCGCCGAGGGATTACCCCGCTTAACGTCGACTCCCCTCCCAGGGCTGTGCGCTCCGCGAGGGCAAGGAATGCGCCGCCCGCTATATCCCTGGCTATCGGCACAGGGCCTGGCACGCAGATAAAGCGACTGCTGTGGGGTGAACCACGGAGGGCAAAGCAAGGCAGCGGGGTAAGCGAGGGGAACGCGACGCGAGAGGGCGTGTGCGGGGGCACTCGCTTCGGGGCGGAGGCGCATGCGCTTCGCTCTCCCCTGCCCCTCACGGTGGCAGGTCGCGAGCTTCTGAGGCTTCACCGGAGCTATGGGAGCAGAGGCAAGGTCGGCCACTAGGACTGGGGCTCCCGAGGGAGGAAAACTTACACGGGCCTGAAAGCGGGCGGGGAAATTCCTTACTCGGGAAGACTGACTGCAGCCACCACGTCTTCGGTGAGCGGTGGTTCCCTCCCTCAGCTCCTCTAACGGCCGTTGCACGCCCGCCAGGCCGCGCGCCACAGAACGCGCGTCCTTCGGCCCCACCCCGTTCTGCCGCCTGTGGCCAATCGGGAATCGAACGGCACCGGCTTCCCGCCCCTTTCTGTACGTTTCTGACCAATCGGCAGTCGAGCCTTGTCGGTATCCCGCCCCCGCACACTACCCTCTGCTCTGAGAGCCGGACAGATCTTTCTGCGCATGACCACGCAGCCACTTGGCTTGTTCTCTGCTCCTTGCCCCGTTTTACCTGTAGGTGGAGCCCTGCTCACTTATACCTGGAGGGGCCTGCTGGGCCTGTGCAGGTTGGGAAGGTGGCGGCCCGGGGGCGGAGGGAGGGGACACGAGAATCCCACTCAACCTGCCTCACCCTCCTTCCATTGCAAGGCGCGTCTATCTGTTCTCCCACCTCAAGCAGGGGTTCAGGTTGTGACCAGGAGTTAAGGTGTGGCCTGGGTCACTGACTAGTCAGGGTCAAGGCTTGGTCTGGGTTGGAGGCAGTGGCCAGCCTGTGACTAAGGTTCAGGTTGAAGGGTAAAGGATCAGTCCCACCTCCCTCCCCAAACTTGGTCCCCAGGAAAAGGAACCGTTAAGTTCATTTGCATTAATAGGCGCTTGAAGAGTCAGAGAGGAGAATTGTTTCAAGTAAGAACAGAACCATCAGCCAAAGGAATGAATCTCTGATAGTGAAATTTTGGGTATCTAGAAACCTGACTTGGGAGGGAGAGATATTAAAAAGTTGTGTAGGAAGCCGGGCGCGGTGGCTCACGCCTGTAATTCCAGCACTTTGGGAGACAGAGGAGGGCGGATCACGAGGTCAGGAGATCGAGACCATCCTGCCCAACATGGTGAAACCTCCTCTCTATTAAAAATACAAAAATTAGCTGGGCGTGCTGGCGCGTGCCTGTAATCCCAGCTACTTGGGAGGCTGAGGCAAGAGAATCGCTTGAACCAGGGAGTCGGAGGTTGCAGTGAGCCGAGATTGCGTCCCGGTACTCCAGCCTGGTCACAGAGTGAGGCTCCATCTCTAGAGAAAAAAAAAAAAAGTTGTATGATTTCTTAGCTTTAAGAGCCAGACAAAGCGAGTTCATTACTGAATAAAAGTCACCCTGGAGGAAAGACCCTAGGGATGTGCCCCAAGGTTGTATCCTCTGCGCTCTCTTTTAGTATTTTAAGGTAAAAATATAGGAGACATAAAATAGCAGATTTAATGGATAATGAAAATGAACCTGGGTATGATATGAAATTAGGACCAGAAGACTCTGTTAATGTAAAGGCTAAAATAAAAAAAAAAAATGTTAAGACAGGGTGTCTAAATGAATAAATTTATGGACTAATGGGTAGAAAGCTAGAAAGTGTTAGTCCTGGCCAGACACGGTGGCTCACGCCTGTAATCCCAGCACTTTGGGAGGCCAAGGCAGGTGGATCACCTGAGGTCAGGAATTTGAAATCAGCCCGTGGCCAACATGATAAAACCCCGTCTCTACTAAAAATGCAAAAATTAGCCAGGTATGGTGGTGGGTGCCTGTAATCCCAGCTACTGGGGAAGCTGAGTCAAGAGAATCTCTTGAATCCAGGAGGAGAGGTTGCAGTGAGCCAAGATCACTGCACTCCAGCCTGGGCAACAGAGCAAGATTCTGGAAAAAAAAAAAAAAAAGAAAGTCAGAAAACGTTGAAAGGCTTCCATTTCTTTTGTGAAAGGCATATGTGAGGAGGGAGGGAACAGGGGCATCTAGAGGACTGAGAAGAATTAGGAAGATGTGAATTGCTGATACAGAGGATAGAAGAGAAATCCGACTGAAACATAGTGGAAGTGTTGAGATTTAAATTTACAAATAGCAAACAGTACATTTGTACAGTTCTTTTTAATAGATATCTATAGTTTAAAAGTAACTCTGTTATCTACTGCCAATTTTCTTTTTTGTTTGTTTGTTTTGTTTTGAGACAGTCTTGCTCTGTCACTCAGGCTGGAGTGTAGTGGCACGATCTCAGCTGACTGCAACCTCCGCCTCCTGGGTTCAAGCAATTCTCCTGTCTCAGCCTCCTGAGTAGCTGGGACTATAGGCACCCACCACTACACCTGGCTAATTTTTGTATTTTTAGTAGAGACAGGGTTTCACCATGTTGACCAGGCTGGTCTCAAACTCCTGACCTCAGGTGATCCACCTGCCTTGGCCTCCCAAAATGCTGGGATTACAGGCATGGGCCACCACAGCCAGCCCTACTGCCAATTTTCAAATGTGAATGACTTGTCATATGTATATATATACAAATATACTAGTCAGGGTTATGGCACAGTCTGAGGCTAGGGTCAGGGCTTGGTCTGGGTTGGAGGCAATGGTCAGCCTATGACCAGGGTTCAGGTTGAAGGGTAAAGAATCAGTCCTGCCTCCCTCCCCATACTTGGTCCCCAGGAAAAGGAACCATTAAGTCCATTGTCCATTTGCATTAATATGAGCTTGAAGAATCAGACTGGAAAATTGTTTCAAAGGAGGAACACACACACACACGCATTTGAGAAGGGGTCTCTTTATGTTGCCTAGGCTGAGCTCAAACTCCTGGGCTTAAGTTATCCTCCCGTTCAACCTCCAGAGTTGCTCGGACTACAGACTTGTGCCACCACTCCCAGCTCATTTATATTTTAACAGAGACTTTTGGTCCTAATTTCAGAGAATATTCACGACCAACCTCTTTAGATATATTCTTTTTTTTTTTTTTTTTCAAGATGGAGTCTTGCTTTGTCGCCCAGGCTGGAGTACAGTGGAGTGATCTCAGCTCACTGCAACCTCTGCCTCCCGGGGTTCCAAAGTGGATTCTTCTGCCTCAGCCTCCTGGGTAGCTGGGACTACAGGCACCTGCCACCATGCCTGGCTAATTTTTGTATTTTTAATAGAGACAGGGTTTCACCATGTTGGCCAGGCTGGTCTCTAATTCCTGACCTTGTGATCTGCCTGCCTTGGCCTCCCAGTGTTGGGATTACAGATGTGAGCGCCTGGCCAATATGAGATTCTTAAATCGTCAGTTACATTATTGTTTTTAAAAGACTTGCTGGATGTATTAGTCTGTTCTCACACTGAGAACTGTTCTCACAGTGTGAGAACAGACTAATGTTAACTGGGTAAGACATACCTGAGACAAGGTAATTTATAAAGGGAAGAGGTTTAATTGACTCACAGTTCCACAGGGCTGGGGAGGCCTCAGGAAACTTACAATCATGGCAGAAGGGGAAGCAAACACATCCTTCTTCACATGGTGGCAGCAAGGAGAAGTGCCCAGCAAAATGGGGGAAAGCCCCTTATAAAACCATCAGCTCTTGTGAGAACTCACTATCATGAGACCAGCATCATGAGACCAACATGAGGGCAACTGCCCCCATGATTAAATTACCTCCCATCACTTTCCTCCTATGACACATGGAGATTATGGGAACACGATGAGATTTGGGTAGGGACACAGCCAAATCATATCACTGAATATTTTAATAAAATATATCAAGTACACTATGACTTAATAACTGAAAAGGGACGGGGTTAGGCCAGATGTGACCTACCTCAGTATAATAAAAAATAAATTGCAATCCCAGCACTTTAGGAGGCTGAGACGGGCGGATCACAAGGTAAGGAGATTGAGACCATCCTGGCTACCACAGTGAAACCCCGTATCTACTAAAAAATACCAAAAATACCGGCTGTGGTCTGTGGTCCCAGCCCTACTCACGGAGGCTGAGGCAGGAGAATGTGTAAACCTGGGAGACGAGCTTGCAGTGAGGCGAGATCCGGCCACTGCACTTCCAGCCTGGCGACAGAGCGAGACTCCGTCTAAAAATAAAATAAATATATTAGGCGGACGGGGGCCCTGAATCAGCCTTTGGAGCCGAACGCGGGCAAGATCACAAGTCAGAAGATCGAGACCGACGGTAAACCGCCTCTACTAAAAATACAAAAAATAGCCAGCGCGGTGGCCGGCGCGCCTGTAGTCCCGCTACTCAGAGGCTGAGGCAGGAGAATGGCATGAACCCGGGAGGCGGAGCTTGGCAGTGAACCGAGATCCGCGGCCACTGCATCCAGCCTGGCAGACGCATGACTCCGTCTCAAAAAAAAAAAAAAATAAAAAATAAATAAAATGAAAATCAAATTGCAACTTAGTTACCAATCATAAATTGTAAGTTATCCTTTCTTTTTTTTTTTTTTTTTTTTTTCTGAGACGCAGTCTCCTTGCGCCAGGCGGAGTGCAGTGCGCGATCTCCGGCCTCACTGCAAGCTGCCGCACCTGGTTTCCGCCATTCTCTGGCCTCAGCCTCCGAGTAGACTGGGACTACAGGCGCCCGCCACCACGCCCGGCTAGTTTTTTGTATTTTTAGTAGAGACGGGGTTTCACCATGTTAACCAGGGATGGTCTCGATCTCCTGACCTCGTGATCCACCCGTCTCGGCCTCCCAAAGTGCTGGGATTACAGGCTTGAGCCACCGCGCCCGGCCTAGAGTTATCACTTTCATATGCACTGTGTTGTCTGGTGGATTATTTTATAAGCATCTATTGTTACAGAGCACTGAGGCTTCTTTAACATGGTCAACTAATTTAGTTTAAATGCAATAGCTTCCTTGTTTACTTAATTTTATTTCATTTATTTTCTTTTTGAGATATTTAAGCAGAGTCAATATTTTGTCCTTATCCTTCAAGATATATATGTATATATTTTTTCTATTTCCCTTCTTCCCTCAGGATATATTTTATCTATTTGTTTTTGAGACAGAGTGTTGCTCTGTTGCCCAGGCTGGAGTGCAATGGCACAATCTCGGCTCACTGCAAACCTCCACTTCTTGGGTTCAAGAGATTCTCTTGCCTCAGCCTCCTGAGTAGCTGGGATTACAGGCACCTGCCACCACGCCCAGCTAATTTTTGTATTTTTAGTAGAGAGGATTTCACTATTACCGCCAGGCTGGGCTTGCATGCCTAACCTCAGGTGATCCACCCACCTCAGCCTCCCAAAATGCAGGGATTACAAGTGTGAGCCACAGTGCCCAGCCAGGATACATTTTAAATAACAGCAAGGGCTAATGCCTTCAATAGCAGGGCTGTTTAAACAGTCTACTACAGATGTATAAAGTCAATATGAATTCACAATAAAATGTAATTGCTGATTTAATAAATGTGTGACTTTGATGTGCATGAAAAAATAATATGGATTGTTCATTTGACATGATTTTTTTCAGGAGCTGTTAAGGCATTAAAGACAACAAAATGTTCCTGCAAATGAAAAAAAATTTTTTTTTGAGACAAGAGTCTTGCTGTGTCGCCCAGGCTGGAGTGCAGTGGCGAGATCTCAGCTCACTGCAATCTCTGCCTCCCAGGTTCATGCCATTCTCCTGCCTCAGCCTCCCAAGTAGCTGGGACTACAGGCACCCACCACTACGCTCGGCAAATTTTTTGTGTTTTTAGTAGAGACGGGGTTTCACCGTGTTAGCCAGAATGGTCTCGATCTCCTGACCTCGTGATCCACCCGCCTTGGGCAGATAAATGTGTACACTGCCAAAGTGCTGGGATTACAGGCATGAGCCACCGTGCCCGGCCAGCCTGCAAATGAAATATTAAGACTGTTAAATTAAATTTAGCTTTTTTTTTTTTGACAAGGTCTTACTGTCACCCAGGCTGGAGTACAGTGGCAGGAACACAGCTCACTGCCTCAGCCTCCCGAGTAGCTGGGACTACAGGTGCCCGCCATCACGCCCGGCTATTTTTTTTTTTTTTTTTAATTTTTAGTAGAGACAGGGTTTCTCCGTGTTAGCCAGGATGGTCTTGATCTCCTAACCTCGTGATCCGC